AGATGCAAAGCAAGAACACATGTCGGAAAACCATCTAGCTGCACAATTAGCGATCATTGGTGTGCATCACTGCCTTCCTCATGCGCAACAAGTCCCCCCCCCTTCAGTATACAAACTTGCTTGCCACTCCCACCCTGCCTGTGGCGACACTGTGGGAAATTGAAACACGGGTGCGAATGGGACAAGAGACTAGTACATGAAATGGTCTACCTACGAAGGCTTGTCTCAAAGATATTCCGCATCAAGCCCGGTCTCCAGATGTTGGAATATCTGAAGGCGACTCGCAAGGGCACGCTGATCCAGCGGCCACACCAGTTCCCGGAATTGGCCATGCCACTGGGCCCCGCCCTTGCGCTCTCCGCCGCCAATTATAAGTCCGACATTTCAGCCATCCGCGTGAATATGCCACCAGTGCAATGTTTTATGAGCTCTCAAGCAGATCATTGCACCAGCCCTCGACGCAGCGAGATAACCAAAAGTTCTAAAAGGCGAGCTGGGCCTCATGCTTCACCAATTTCGTTTCGGCCTTCGCCTTCGGGGCGGGCACGGGCGATGGTTTCACTCGTCGCGATGGGACAGAGGGCAATGGAACCACGGGCAAATGGCTGAGGTCCGCCTCCTCCGAGTCTAACTGCTCTAGCTCCGCTGCCAGCTCGTCTTCATCCAGGACGACTCCCTTGTCGAAGGCCTGGCCCAAAATCTCGTTCACCGTGGCCAACTGGTCGCTCTGATCGTTGATATCTTGCACCACTTCTTCCACCACGTCGAGGTTCATCTCTTGCATCGTGTGCGTTGCAGCGCTCGCCGCGCCCTTCATCGTGCCGAGGGCTTCGGCGGTCGTCTCCTGACTTTCCAGCATCAGTCGCTGTTCGTTTATCCGCAGAATGAGGTTGTCGGTCTGCTGCAACTGAGCGAGGCGAGGATCGACACAGATGTGAGGGTTAGCTAGGATCCTCCAGCGCACTCTAGCAGTTCCCTGGCTCAAATGTATATTTGAATTGCAATACATGTGTTACGATTCCATTGCCACAAACTCGCTGACATTCGAGTGTCGTGGCCTCCAGTGGTATCATGTAAGAAGACCTTTGCAAACGATGGTGAGTCAGAACGCTCAGGACATCACAGAGCAAGTCACACTATACTATGGTGTGACGTGGTATGGGCACTGGCAGTTCCCGCGTCTGTCTCAGATGGGCGCTGGGAGGACTCAAAACTAGCTTTGTGCCAGCGGCCCCAATGACTGCGTTTTTTGGTCAGCCCTTGATAGGCAAATACGTTGCCAGCTGTCTTGGTCGACAGATAGGTCGCTTTCCCATGCATTTTCGTTATGGCCCATCTGGGCGACACCAGCGCACACTGCAGTGTACATTAGGTTTTCGAGTTGCCCCGGCACCAGTGTTGGCTGCTGAAAATGCCAGGTCTGTACATGTCAATTGAGATTATCATGATCAATTTCTGACAAGAGCGCAACATCAGGTACACATAACGATGCCTTATCAGGGATGAACTGGACTGGTCGGCACCGCGTTGCCTGCGTCGTGTTGCTGACGCCCTTTCCCGAAAGTGATTCTCCTGCCAGGCGTTTCGACGCTCAGCGCGGCAGCTGGCTTGTCCATACCGACAAGGGGTGCCCCGGTGAGCCCTCGCCTCTCGCTCCCCAAAGGCCAACACGTTTCTCGCGCTTGAAAGCACGCCAGGCATTGGCGACGAGTCCCTCACCTGACGCTCGTGGAGCTTCTTCATCTCCAGCGCCAGCAGCGCCTCCTTCTCCCTCCCCCGCTGCTTCAATGCCTTCGCTTTGTCTAGCTGCTCGCGAACGCGCTTCTCTGTCAAGCTTCGCCGCCGTTCGAGGCGCTCCTCCTGTGCATCCAGCCCCTGGATGGAGTCCCGCAGCTTGTTGGCGGGGGGGTCGACGACGGGGAACGCAGCCGTTGCTCCTCCCGGTGGGAAAAAGCGTCGTAACCAGCCCGCCATGCGCCTTGGAGACGTCTCACTGGCCTCACGAGAGGCCCGCGGTCGCTGGCCGCGGCTCTGGACAAGTGGCGGAAAGGCACATGAGCTGAATATGCACCGGAGATGCAGCGAACAAATGCATGCGAATGACAATGGGCGCAAGGTGCACGGAAGCCGCGAAGAGCAACGGTATGCGCAAGGTCGCTACCCGACCACTGATCTGGAGCTAGCGGAGGCCCGGTCGACGCGGCTGTGGGGCCCAAACCTGCGGGCGCTGAGCGCGCTGGCTCATCAGCCCAGTCCAGCTGCCGAAAGTCCGAAAGACCGTGCCAGAACGGGCCCATTCTGGCGCCGCTGGTGCCTCAACCGCGAACACAGAAAGCGAGCTGCACCGCCAACTCGATGCGACTGCGGAACGTGGCTGTGACCGTGACATTCGCCTCTAACCATTGCCCACTTCAACGTTTTTCGTTGGAGATCCGTCCCGGTCCAAGGCCGTGAAGTCGCACCCTTAGTGCCCTGTGGGCGCCTCCGCTCGTTGCGCGTGATTTGGGCTGTGGCCACGAAGGCAAAAAGAGGTGGTCCGCGGCGAGAATGCGGCGTTGTTGTGCGGCAAAGCACAGGTCCATGGCCTCAGCGGGCGACATCGCGAATCGGAAACTGGTGAGAACGGGCTGGCAGTCGCTCACGGCAGGCTCGCCGCCGCGGCCAGCATCAGGCAGAAGATTACAATGGCATCATGACTAAGGAGTCAGCCGAAGTAAGGTCGTTGCGTTTGACCAGGGAAGCTCGGGTGTCTCGCTGGCAGGTTGGCAAGCGGAAGGGTACGGACGGCATTTAAACGGCAACCGAACGATCGCGCCCAAAGGAGAGCGAAAAACGAGGCAGCGGGTGCTCAAAACACTGTTGCGGCCTGGGTACACACGCGGCCACCGCCAAGCTCGCGGCAGCTTCAGCGGGCGGGTGGTGCTCGTCGGCGGTCTCGCAGCACCGTCGCCACACACAACGGGATAGTGGTGCACGCTCGGCCGGATGAGAAACAGAGAAGCCAACCGACGTTCAGGGCTCGCAACTCTGTCCAGGGTCTGCGCACCGCAATTCTCCCCCGGGAACTATAAGCACGAACCTGGATCCCGGGCGATATACCGCTCAGCCCACAGCTTGCAAACTTGGTGCAATCACCCCCGCGACAGCCTTCTTGAGAAGGGTCGAGGCGCCCTCTGGACTTCCCAAGGTACCCAGACCGCTGCCATCCAACTGACGGGCCCGGGGGCGACCCCGGGCTCGCCCATCCCCATGCGCCGCACCGATATCAAAACTTCGGCAGCGTGTGCCTTTCTTTCGCAGTGCTTCACTCTCAATCCGACCGCAGACGGGGAAGGGAGGCAGACTTCCCTGACTCTGCTGACGGCAAGCGCGGACAGCTACTTGCGCGACGGCGTTCGGCCGTTTCGCTGCAGATGCCGCCGTCGGCTTCCATCCCACAATTTTCACACTCCCCCACCGATCAATGCCGTGTCTCAGGAGGCAAGTGAGAAGATGGCGGATGCTGCAAAGGGTCGCACCGAAGCGCGCCAGCTGACAAGAGTTTTCAATTGGTGAGCCATTACCTTCCGAGGCTTGGAGGATCGCAGAAACCCCATGGTGCCAGCGCCAGAATGCACGCTGTTGAGGGTCGCGGACCAGCGGGGTTTGTTCAGACGGTGGTCGGGGCCTGCCAGAGAGTGGAGAGTGGATGCTCGCCCTGTTGCAGCAATTCCAGAACGGCCGGGCGCCTTGGCGCAAAAGCAGAGCGCGAGCGCCAATTTGTAGTTGGGGCACTCGTCTGCTCTTCCCGGACTGTTCCTCCACGACATCATGATGCCTCCGGGTTCCGGTGTTGTTGCAACTGCCAGTGAGCGGCATAGGGTCAGCCTCCACCAGGATCCATCCAAAGTCCACGGGCAGCGCCCAATGTCACCATTCTTGGCACGCTGTATTAACCGTTTCCGATTGCCGACATGCATGGCATAAGCGACCCATGCCATTACACTGGGCTATGTTGTCAATCCGCAGCCTCAGGGGCGAACAAGACTGTTGTCGCCATCGATGACTCTGGCAAACAGCGCGTAAGCAAACAGAAAACGTAATATGCCAACAGCAACTTTGTCGTATCTGGTGTTTGCGAAGGCCACTGCGAAGACCTTCAGCGACACACACATGCGAGGGCTATGGCCTTAAAGTGGCCTCGCCTGGTGGTGAATGACTGGTCAATTTTCGCATCGACTGGACTAGCAAAAAGTTGCTCCTGCCAAAAGCAATGCAAGCAAATGTGCATTAGAGCTTTGCATTCTGGACCACTGTTGATTCTCCAATTTCCTTGTCACATTGCGAAATGTAGCAGATTCGCACCAAAGTTTGCGCAAAAAGACCATCAGTTGATGGTGAGTGCACCGCACCAGACCCGTGTTCGACCAGGTGCAGAGCACAATGTGCACCGCAGTCCAATACAATGCAAGGGTATCTGCCGCCTGAACACACTCTTTGGTCACAAATTCTGTTGTAGCCACACATGAAGAAGGCATTCCTAAGATGGCATTCAATCAACGAATTATGGAATCGCTATCAACTATCAGCAAAACTGCCCTTGTCACAGGTAAGGCCATATCCAGGTACCATCGCTGCAGTCACATTCTGCACCAACAACACCCAACGGGAAGGTGTGGTGCGGATCTTTGAAACTTGTTGTCAGTAAAACAAAGGCCACACCTGAGAATTCGCTGCAGCACAAAATCCTCAAGCTGTAGCTCATACTCTCTTGCAAGACAGCTCACACAGCGGGCATCTGAGGTGCGAAACAATCCTGACGTTCATTCTTGCTCTCATTATTGCTCCCTCGTCATGGGAACAGAAGTCAACTGCCTCATTCCATGTGTGGCAATTTCTAGAACCCCGAAGTGGAAGATGCAAGCCCGCTCAGAATGATACAGCCAAATACAGCTTCCCTCGCATTGCCCAGTGCCCAAGACAATCAATATGCATTCACGCCTTTGGCCTAGGTGAGCTGCCTAATCCAAGACTTCGCCAGTTTTCTTCAGGTATCGGATCTTTTTTCCATCCTCTGCAAACCTGCACCAAACACACACTCAGTTATAGTCCAGCATCAAAGAAAAAAATTAGGAGCTCAACAGTCCACAAGAATTTGACACTGAACCACGCACAACTTGGGGACATGGTTAACAACACAGCATTGAAACCAAGACATCAGTAGCCACAAGTACCCACTGCCAGTTCTGCAATCACAGCAACAGTCCCCACACACACCCTGGACAACTAAACGTACCATTCCTATTGCACATTAGTGAATACCAGATGCAGAACACTGTTCAGAACTACTGCAGCCAAACGCATTCACCCACATCCCATGCTCACATGGACGGTCTCTTGCACACAAACCAAAGGGCACATTCACCTTCTTTGACAATCTGCTCCACTCAACCAAAGCTTCTAGCGTTGGTGGGTTCTTGGTGGCTAGCGAAAAACGAGAAGGGGGTGTAGGTGTGGGTGGAGGAGGCCTTCGACTGATGCATTGACAAGCCAAGAATGTGGCCTGCCGCAATTTGGATTCCCCATTTGAAAGCCAATTACTGTCCGATCAATACAAATTTCCTACTAGAAGAGTGCAATGCATTGTTTCATGCACATCTTAGAACCATCGCTCTGACATTTTGCTGGTCCATCAGCATCCAGTTTACAGCAGTTTTGGCTTGTACCAAAACTGGGCAGTTCATGATCCATTCACCAAACAGTCCCCACTGCGCAGATATTCTACCTATCTATCACTGCAAATCAGCCAACGGTAGCAAATTTCGCAGCGCTCCAAGATAACCACAACATGGACTATTGGACAGAATATCCTCTACCCCACAGTGACCTCATCAGAGGCAACCATGTCTTCTGTCCCTTTCACTCATACACTTTTCAGATTGGCCCAAACAGTGCATCTGCACTCACTTGATGCCCACTCGACTCCGGACTTGTTTCTCCTTTGAATAATGCATGACATTTGAATGGTGGATGGGCGACTCCTTCTGCTCCATCACACCAGCCTCGCCTTCGCCCTGGGGCTTCTGATACCTTGTCTGTTACAGACACGCCACGTTGATTCAACCGAAAACAGGCACCAAGGAGGGTGGATAATGGTAAAGAGAAACAATCCTGGAACTAGCTGTACTGCCCACATCATCAGCAACCCCTTTCATAATAGGACCAAACAATGCTCCCAAACTTGGTGTTGTCACATAGCCCTTCCAAATACATTCCCCTGTTGCCGTCCCTCCTACCACACACTTCAAAACCATTTGAATGTTTCATACAGCTTGCGAACTTCGCTGATAGTTGGAAAAGTGCATATCTGCAGGTATGCCCCACAAACATAGTGGCAGCCAATGTAACGAACCTTCATGTTTGTTCCCTCCAGAAACACCTGGCCAGTTTTCCTGTTCACCTGCAAAGCAAAACCAAAGAACACGTCAACAGGTATCCGCCTGCTGGGCATACAGGAACTACCACCCAAATTCGTTGACCGTGTGCAATGTACTGAGCTGCACGACTGAAACTGGCAGAACAGGCAGGCCCTGGTGCCAAGGACAAGAGAGCAACCCACCCACGTTGCAACGTTCACAACTGCTCACATGGTTTCTTAATGCATGAATTCCTCCCAAATATTGTTTGTTATTGTGCGTACTTCCCTGCAATCGCACGACTGTACCAGTGTTTTGGGCAGGGAACAGGTTCTCAATTTCTGTCCCTCATGATGGGTCGGCAATTCTATGACGCGTGTTCATCATTTTTTGATTGAGCTAGGGCGTTTATTTCAGGTGAAGAGGTGCAGCCAACCTTGGTGATCTCGCCAATTTTGCCCTTCTCACTGCCGGCCACGACGATCACTGTGTCGCCGGTCTTCACGTGCATCTTTACCCGCACGACCTTCCCGTTCTTGTTCGTCTCATAGTGCTCCCATTTCTTTCCCGGGCCCTGACAAGCAGACACGCGACGGCAGGGGCAGCGGTGAGAACGGTTGAGAGGCGAAACTTCACTCACCGCCATGGGCAACCCAGTGAATGCCACAATTTGGGTGCTGTTTTCCGCCACACTGGTGTAGTGCTGGCCGACATTAACAAAATTCATTTCGGCAGCAACGCTGCTGCAGGATCCCAGGTTCCACTTCTGCCTGGCTATCACCATCACCCCCGGCGGCACACTACGGCGCGGTGTCAGCAACATGAAGCAGACAACATGGCCATCATCCCACGGCCGGCTGGGGCGAAGACACTCACGATGAGGCCGGCTGTGATGGGAGGTACGGAGATGTTGGGAGCCTGCGAAGCCAAAGATGGGGCCGACGGTCAGCAGCGGCCACCCGGCAAAGCATCCCGCCTGATTCGTCCCGCCAACAAATGTGCTGGGAGCGTCGCGGCACCCACCCGTGGAGCGGTTGCGGGCTGCCGCGCGGCGACTTGTCCGCCGAACAAGCCGCTGCATCGCGAGCCGATCTGCGCCTGCGCCGCCAGCCCCGCCATCGTCGCCAGACCCGTCAGCCGACCGCGGCGGCTCCTGAGGCGACGGTGCCAGTGACAGACCCCACAACTGGCCACCAGACCCAGACCCAGACCAGGGGGGGCATTTAGACCTGATTAGGTCCGTCAAGAGAAAGTAGGTAGTTTAGCAGGCGGCCTACTTTGTTACCTTTAGTTTCCTCGGCTTAGCTAGCTTAATTCACTTCATCCAATCCACTAATTAGTCCACTGTAGCGGGCTAATTACACTTGCTGCCTCTCAGTTACTCTGCAGGGTTTTTTTTACGGGGTGAGGAAGGCCTGCGCCGTTCTTCAGTTCGCGGCCGTCCCTTTAATTCAGGATTTGTGTTTTAGTGCGTGTGGTGGGAGGAACGGAAGTGGTTGGGCGCCGTACAAACGGGGCGGCGTCGTCCGCACGCTCCCTTGGGTGCAACATGGCGGCAGCGCCGCTGGCGGGAGCCTCGCCACTGCTGCGGGCGCACGGGCGGGGACGCGCGGGCGCCTCCGCGCGCCACTCGCCCGTCGGGGGCGTCGGCTGCCGGCGGCCGCAGCGATCGACGGGTGATTCACAGGCGCCGGTGCGTCGATTGATCTGGGGGCCACGGGCTCCCGGCACCAAGCGGGACCGCCATTGCTGCCCCGTGGAGCTCAGCGGGGCCGGCGTAGTTCTGTGAGCGATGATTGCGCTGCGATTAGAGACGCGTTGCAAATTATGCGTTGAGCCGCGACGTCCCTGGACGCGCCTGTTGCAACCACGACGCTGTGAGCCCATGGCGCCGCACAGGGGCCTCACTTGGCTTGCGTGTGGTTTTTGGAGCGAAAGGCAGAGATGCGGTTCTAACATGAAGGAGGCATGTGGAGGCGGAAAGGTGGCTTTTGCTCGCAACGTGTGCGTCGCCGCGAAAAACTGTAATTGTGACGCATGTACAGTGTGATGGATGCTGTGCGATCTCGCCCGTGGTACCCCATTATGCAGGCAGAATCCGTCGCATTGTTGAGACGAAGGCGCCTCCCACTGCACCGATTTTTGGCCGGCGGCTTATTGTTGCGTCGAGGGCGGCTGATGCCTGAGATGGATGCAAGGGCCTGGTCCCTCGTGGCTTTTTTTCCCTTTCGTCAGCATACCTCTGTTCTTGCGCCCAATCGTTGCTAGTCAGATGCCGTGTTTCAAGACGATATCAGCATTCCTCTGCTCGTGTTAGTGGAAATCCAAGGTGTCCATGAATTGGATGTCAATCCCCAAATGTGCACAGCATGCAAGCGAAGCCCCCAAGATATGCGCAACACCACTGTCCTGTAGTTTCAATCTGACTCTCTCGTTTTATGGAATACTTTGGAGCCAGAACGTACACGCCAACCATCCATGTCTGACCTTTGATGTTTATGGAGGCACTGCAGTGGTCTGTCTGTGCAACTTCTGTGGAATCCCTCGACACCCTGTTCAATGACCTTGAGCAGCTGGGGGCAGCAAGACCCCCAACAAGGTGTTACAAAAGGGAGGAGATTGCAAACCAGATTCAAGCAATAGTAGATGGTGGCAAAGAGACAGGAAAAGATGTTGTGACCAAGGCATTCTTGGCAGGGCAGTATGAAGAGGTTATCGGCACCGAATTCTACGCTACCACAATGGATGGCAAGAGCACTTTGGGCAAAATGAGCTTTAAGAATTGGAAGCCTTTGGATGCTGTGGTGAGCGTCCCTGCACCTCTGGGTTTTATGTTCCTTGAGGCCCAGTTATTGCAGCACAAGGCAAATATGGGCGCTGAAGGCTGTGGTGGCTCCTATCTGCTGCTAGTTGTCTGCTCTGCATTCCCTGGCCTATGCTGCTGGGCACTGTCCAAAAGTGGAAACTGGGAAATCAGGCGAAAAGAGTAAAACTACAAGTCATTGGATACTCCTAATTGATGGCTTCAGTCCTGAACAACCTAATGAGCCCCAATGGCCTTGTGCAAGTCCAGGTCAGGCATTCTACTGAATTGCGTTCTCTGTTGCCAAAGTGCACCGAGTTGAATGCAGCAATTGTCTGGTGGCACAATGTATGTTCAGCATCATAAATTCTCACTGTCTGTTGTACTGTGCATGCAGTGAATGTTTCACCATGCAACAGTGTTGTATCATTTAATGGATGATAACTGCTGTGCAGACAGTCATTGATTCGTCGGTGAACAATCGTGGCGAAGTTGGCAGTTCACAGGAGTACCGGACTGAAGCCAACTTCACATTTACCGAGAGCGGCATGAAAGGCAAAAGCTCGCTCATCGGGTCCTACAGACTTGATGAAGAAGACCCATCAAAGATCATTGTCCAGTTTGCTGCAGTGAGGCTGGGTCCTGGATCATCCGATCCTGCAGATGTCAAGGCCTGGAAGGAGTTCCTCGGGCCCCACAACCCAACAATGGTGTGTTGATACCTCTGGCATCCGGTGCTGCGTTACCATTGCTGGCTGTCAAAATTGGAGCATATTGCCTACGTTGTCTTGTTAAATAAATGACATAGCCCCAACATCTGCACCAAGTCGATGCTGGGGAGGGGGAATACCAGCCACATTCATTTTCCAGCACGTATCACCTCAGCTGCACTAGTGGAGGTCCTGATCTGTTGCCGCAGGTTCCTTCCAGAAACTCGGGAACATTGTGTTGCCCAGTTTGTTGTATTGCATGTTTCTGTGACTGTGCCTTCACGCAAAATCCTCCTTGCGCGCAGGATGAGGATGGCTTTGTTGTGACGCCATTCGAAAAAGGCCCTCAGGCATGGCTGCAGTTCATCTACATGGACAAGGACGTGCAGTGCTTCGAGTCACAAAATGGAACTTTCCATATGCTGAAGAGGCTCAGTTAACTTGGACGTGGCCGCTGTCACGTGCCTTGCGGTGCGCGTTGTGCTGAAGACATTTGTATACACTTCTCAGGTGGTGGACATATGTGGCCTTTTTTTCGGGATTGGGCTCTTGCAAACTATGTGTAAATCAAAAGCGAATAAATGGCACCAGTGTTGTTTCCTGTTATTCAACTTCTGCTGGTTCGTGGCAGTGGATGCCAGGACAGGCACGAATTGGTGGATGGATCGTCTGTGCTTCCGATAGTTGAGTGGCTTGATTCATGGTTCGGTTACTGTGGCACTGCCATGCTGCAACAAAGACGGTGATGCCATGATGGCACCACCGCCTTTGTTGCAGCATCAGAGCATACCTTGGCACAGACAGCTGAACAGCAACTGTTTTGTGTGCTGAACATCATAACATCGTGTGCAAAGGCCCCCTTCACGATTCTGTGGCAGCCACAAGCCACTGACTGTGGTGTGTCTTGCTGGAACAACGCCTGCCATGGGATGGGGTTTGCAACTTGCATATCCATGCTCTCCCGCCACCACGAGCTCTGAAGCTCCAGCCAAATGTCCAGGCGCCCTTGGTCGCAATTTCTGGCAAATTCATGTTGGCGGTGTGCAGGCATGCACATGTGCTATCATGTGATAGCATGGGAACTAGGCGCAATGCCCTAATAGTCGTCTTGGCCATCTTCACTCAAAGGGTTCAACATCATCTTCTATGTCTATCACCCCCATTAGCATGTGCTCCACCACCAATAGCACACAAGTTGCAAGGGCGAGTGTCACCATTAAATTCATACTACTATAGTACTACAGTATTGCAGTAGTTTTATTGAGCCGAATGGCTCAGGCTTGTCAAGATCTCCTGTGCAGTTGCAGGTGGCCATTTTTGTTGATTCTTGTTTGCTTCCACTCCGGCGCAACCTTCTTCTGGCGATGGGTTTTCGCCAGATTACCCGTGGATACCGTGGTCATTTCAAAAAGCTAGCATTGTTTCGTGTGACTAGTGTGTCCCATGTATATGGCCCGAACCTCTGGTGGGTCCTCTGGGAGTGGCCCAGGCTCTTTGTAGTGACGTAGCGCCTCTCTCCGTGTGCTTCACCGTCCCGGTTCGGAAGATTGAGATTATGGGCGACCGGGGTGTCCGAAATGGCGGGCATGCCGCTGGCGGGGTTGCGCACCCCGCTGCGCGCCCACGGACGCTCGGCGGCCGCCCACACCCCTCCCCTCGTTGCCAGGGGCCTGACGCTCGATCCCTCGCGACGGCGGGGGGCACTGCCCAAGCAGGTATCGCACACCGCAGCTCTGCCTGTCGTGTCGGAGCGCCGGCTGCAACTTTTGGACAGAACGCTGATCTGGCAATGTGTTCGTGGAGCGGGCCGCTGAGGACGCCAATGTGGGTCCGACGGTGGCCCCATGGGTAGACGGTTGGAGACGTTGACTGTGGATCAATGCCGTCGTCGCTGAACTTCCCACGCTTTCGGCTGGGAGAAGCCTTGGGGCAGAGGGGGGGAGATGCTAGCTCACGACGCCGTCTGCTCGTTGTTGGGTTCAGAAGCTGCGCGCTGAACTAGACGTCCTGGTCGCGTGTCCAATCGGGGCAGTAGCGTGGAATCTGATCATTCGACAGCCGTTAGTTGGAAAGCGGCTTGGAGAAAGTCCACGCAATAAAGGTCTGTGCAGAAGAGTGTGCCCCTGCCTCCATTCGTTGGATGTTCTATAGACATCACGGCGTTGTGGCACAACTCAACGGCAGGCTTAAGAAAAGGAACATAATCTGCAGGTGCTTCTCAGTACATGTGCTCCTGCATTTTGTGTGCATCTTGTCATTGTGTCATAAACCTCGCTATATTCAAGGCGAGTATGGTACTTTGAAATTTGAGGGAAATCAGAAGGATAGCATTGTCCATTGACTGCCACTTGCTCCAAGACACTATTGGCCTTTAGACGGGACGTTGGTGTGCAAATGCGCTTCACAAACACGGATGGGGGAAGCCAATGTTTAATGACTGACACCTTCTGATTGCCTCTCAGGCCTGGCAATGGCGTGTGTGTGGCACATCTGTGGAATCTGTTGATGCTGTTGTCAAGAACCTGGAGGAAAGAGCTGGAGAAACGGGGCTGCGGGCCACAAGAGAGGAACTCAAGAATGAAATAGAATTGATGGTGAATGCTGGGAAGGAACAGGGGAAGGACGTCGTGGTGAAGGAGTTCTTGGCTGGCGAATTCGTTGAGATTTGCAGTACTGAATTCAAAAATGCCACTATGGATGGCAAGAGCACCTTGGGGCAGATGAGCTTCAACAACTGGGAGCCCAAAGAAGAGGAGGTGCGTTTCTGCTTCTTCTTTTATTGGAGCAAAAGAAACAAATGATGGAGCGTATCTTCTGTCCTGATGCCCTGGTATTGGGTTGCTCTTCTTGTCCATTCCACTGAGGAAGGAGCTGGCTTCCAGTAACTGCCTAAAATTTAGTGGTTTGTACATCAGTCTTGCAGTTTGCAGGCCAGAATCCTTTAGGATGGGAGAAAAGATGAGTTGGAATATTAATATTGCATCCTTCAATCTGGCTTGAGGACAGCATTGGAACAAAGAAGAAGCCGTGATCCGAGGGCATTTTGATGTGCATGGTTCATAGGGGCATATTTTGGGCCACTCAATGCAGGATAACGTCCATCACTAGCCGCACAGCAGTATTGTTTTGCCCCACCATGTTCTGTCACCCATAATTGTGGCTTTGGATGTGCATGCTGCTTTCTCACACTCTCCTTGCATCTGCAAATGCTGGAATTGTGTTGTTAAGGTTGTGAGTTTCTTGATGCAGACGCTCATTGAGGGAGGGGTGAATATACGCGGAGATGCTGGTGGTTCCAGGGAGTACCGAACTGATATTTTTTTCAAGCTGACCAACAGTGGCATCCAAGGAAGGAATGCAGTTGCTGGATCGTACGAGTTTGACGAAGAGGATCCATCAAAGATCCTTGTCCAATTTTCTGAACTAAGAGTGTCTCCCAAATCATCTGACCCCTCCGACGTTGAAGCCTGGAAGGCACAGCTGGGCCCTCACAACCCAACGATGGTGCGTCCGGATGGACCGAATCCATAAATACTCTGCTGAACTTTGCTGTGCCTGCATAACTTCTACCCGCTGTGCAGATACCTGTCATTCTATATTATTCGTTCCCAGTGCTTGGCACTCATCTCATTTATCTGCTATCCTTGATCTTTTCTCCATTCTATTACCTTCACATTTTTTCTCCGTTCTCCAGGAATGGCTGCTACTTGTCTTCCAGGTTGGGTCTTTTAGGGAAACAAATACACAATTGACATGCAACATCTGCAAGATGGTGCTCTGGTGGTGGTGGTGAGAAAGGTTGCATTATCTGATTGAAACAAGGGGCTGAAGAACAGGAACAGCGAATGCGAAAGAACGAGGTTTTTGGTGCCCTTCACAGATCCCAGATCTCTTCGATATATCAAATAACACAGGTTGTGTTGGATGTGGATCATGGTGGCACAACACTGTTCTTTCACACCCTGTGCAATGTTGCAATAACTACGCTATCTGCACACTGAACCCCACTCCGCTGCTCCAAAGTACTCCAAAGTGCAAGATATGACGGTTTCATTATTGTGTATTGTCATCTTGTTTTCCATGCACATCCACAGCGTGCTTTGGGGAATGATAGCCCGTTTCTCGAAAAATCTGAATTCGTTTCAGAAAACAATCCGTCTTTTATGTTCAGGTGCAAGTCTTGGGATGCAGGTTGTACGAGTGAAGATCAATACCAAGGACAAGAGCGGAATGTAGTACCCCAGATTGGGCTGCAAGCACGCAGCACACCATTGCTCCCCAAGATGAGCATCACTAGCTGCCGCGTTTTGTTCCTCATTATACAGCATGCAAGCACGTGATAAACGGCAACTTACTAACTGGAATTTCCATTCTCACGAAGATTTTGCTCCTTCACTGTACAGTGGTCCAAAGGCTCCTCCACTGCACCCGCACAGAGTGGCACAATGCCGCACTTCATGTTTGGATTCGGAAATTGCACACGATTGACGCTTCACACCAACACCGAACATCCAGTTGCGGTTCGCCAATATCGGAATTTTACCAGTGCCTACAATGTCGGCAGCTGTCAGCGCGAAGTGGGTGACAGCACTTGATCCTGTGCCAGCAATTCGTTGCTTTCCTTGCATGTGTTGGATCAATGAACGACCTGCATGCAGGGTGACGACGGTTCCATAGTTGTCTCATTCGACAAAGCTCCTCACGCCTACCTGAAGTTCGTTTACATGGACAAGGATCTGCAATGCTTCGAGACTCAAGCTGGGACCTTTCGAATGCTGAAGAGAAAGGCGTGAAGAGGGCAAGTGCAGCGCACATAGTGATGTGCATTATTGAGCTGCAGGCGCCGAGGCCGGTACACAACTGTTGTTCTAGTTCTGCACTTGCATGTTCTGAAGCAGCTGCAGCTGGAAGTAAAACACTAATTCCTGCAGTCGATAGCAATCAAGGCTGTGGTGGAGAAGCCTCTCAGTCTTCAATTGCTTAATGTGGATGGCAGTCAAGAAATCGTATCTTGTTTCATGTTAAATGTGGAAATAGACGTATGCATTGAAGATTGTTCGGAATGGGGGGTGTGGGAGCGGAAGCAGGGGTGGGAGCAAGCAGGGTGCATTGGTGTTTTGATGTTTGGGGTGTTGCTGCCTGTGTGCAATGGGACGTAGGATACTCGGCCCACATGTTATGGGCCCCACACAAGATGTGGCTGCATAGAAGTGGCAATCACCTAAGGGGTGCGGGTGACCATGTAGTCACGCGAATGATTCTTGCGAACGCACGGAGACGATCTGGTCGTGTGCGGACGCAACTTCGTTGGCCTATTTCTCTGCGGCAGTCAATACTCCCTTTGTGCTCGCCCCATCTCTTGCTTTTTTGTTGAGAGCGCTTGCATGGATGCGTCCTGGGGCACGTCGGGAAGCAAGGAGGCTCGATTCCATGCACACAGGACATGCGAAGGTCGGCCACAGCATGGCATGGTGCCACATTTGAGCCACATCACAAATCCGGCCCCCGACTTTGACCTGCAGCCGCAAGGGCAGAGAATTGTCATGTTTGATAACTGCAACCAGTGAAAATTTCACCTCCGAAAAGGACAGAGACAACCGCGCTGAATAGATCACTTATCACTGAGCAAGAGTCCCCACTTATGCCACGATGAAATGTCCGGGGTGCATTTCAACAACAGGGCACTCAACTTCATGGCCATAGAGTCAGTGAAAGCAAGCATATGCTTTACATCCATGCAAGCAGTTCGTGTGCTCCACACTGCCCGATTTAGAACATTTCTGGTTGCCTTAAGGATGAACATTGCCTTGATCAATGTGCCTCGCAGCTGAACGTCCCAGAAGCTTCGTATTTTGTAGAATATCGAAATGACCTTGCCATCATCGCCGGGTTGATGACCGCTCTCCAAGTCCATAAATGAGCATAAATGAGCTGGGTTTCGCTTGCCTTTCGCACTAATTCGAATAGCTAAAATTGTCCAGGTGCACGAAAATGTCGGGCGATTAAGTATTTCTAGCAGTTCAGACACTACTTTTGTCTCAGACTGGATATGATTTTGTTGATCGATAACTGAGTTAAGGTGCGCTGAGCTTGACGTTTGGCTTGGTTGAAATCTACCTTGTGTCTCTCTTGTGCTTGACGGGATCCACGGATCTGCGGAACACCAGAAAAAGGGATGGGATCTTCACACGAATGTGGCTGGTCACGTCAATGGTTTGCTCCCCGGCTTGTTGCCAGAGAGCGGCTGTGGCCGGTTTCCCTTGCATGTTGTGGCACTGCTCCAAACAACAGTGAAACGCCTAGCCTGCCACAAAAGAAAAGGGCATTCTTGAAGGAAAGGCCGTTGATGCGATTCAAACGGCCCCCTTTGGAGTGCACACGGGAAGCGCGAATCCACGGTCGCTGATGCCTCAACGGGTTGGCACATGGCCAGACGCAAGACCACACCACACACAAAACGCCCAGGGCTCACATATTTGCTCGCCCTTCCCACAACGAAGAGCCTTGCCGATGGTGGCAACGACCCCCGCAACCGAACAATTCGAATTCTCTAGCACCCACAGAACTCTTCTTTTGACATGACAACGACCATCATCCATCAACAATCATGTTGATTGGCCATAGCGTGTGACTGCCTGTCAAGGCTGATGAGTCGCGGCCACGTGTGCACACTCTAGAGGATATGCCCAATCCAGATCCCCAAACAAAGGGATCCCAAAGACACACAACAACCTATTACTACTCCAGCTGCAAAAACACAGGTCAGCTGAAAGCAGACTGGACTGAAGATAGGACCAGCAGTCACACCCGTCACAGGCTGTGACGTGACGGGTGCTGCGTCCCTTTCCCGCCTGTTCTGGTAGCGCCTTACGCGCTCAGAATTCCACAGGAAATTCAATTGCCCTTTCAGTCTGGCGATTTCCCTGGCCAGGCTGGCAAGCTGGGGAGATTCCCCGCGCATTAAAGGGCAAATGAGGAGTCCGATCAGTGCACCTACTTTCCGAATTAGTCCTGCAGCCCTCGCTGCCAATACCGGTCCTTGGACAATCAAATTGATACTCGTTAAAGTTAGTAGAGCAGAACCAACTGCCTTACAAAGTTGGGACAGTTGGTTAGGGCTTATAAACACTCTTGTCCAATCCTTTATATGTTTTCCAGGATTTTGGACACCTTCAAACGAGATCAGCACGTCATCAACATACAGCTGGACGTCCAGTTTTTAGAACTAACGTATTAAACCTCTGTGCAAGTCAGTTTTCAAAGACTTTCTCTGACAGCTCGTTCCAACTTTTCCGCAGCTGACGAGCTTGACCTTCTTTCAAGGATGGCCTCTGAGTCTCCTGTGTGTCTCTATACAGGTCAGCTTTCACAGGAGCTGGGGGGCACCGGGATGGCACAACTTTTACCGCAGGAGTTTGAACCCCGATTTCCGGGTTTAGTTCTTTGGGGCTTTCCTCAGTCTGACTCATGTCTTAGAATCTTTCATTGGACAGCATTTAGAGGAAAACGAACGAGACTTGTATGTTTCCAGTCTTGTAATGGATTCGCACTCCTTTCAGCCTCTATTTCCCTTTAGTACTGGACCTTGCTGAGGCAGTACTTTTTCAGTTTCGACTGTCCTTGACTAAGCACAGAACTGACTCAACTCTCCCTTACCTTGATTACTTACCTTCCTGTTCTGTCGCTTCCAGTCGCGCTCAGGCCAGTTCCCACTTCAAGGGACCAAATTATCCAATAGCCTTTTCGACAGGCTTCCAGGATTGCGGTATGTACTATATATCTTTATCTATTCAATACTTTAGCCTTTACCTCTGTACCTTAGTGGGAGCCCCGAAGGCTTTCCCACAAAGTACAGGGCCGGACCTGGGACCCCACAGGCTTCCCCAGTAGATCCGGCCAAGAGACTTCACTAGATTGATAGACGGTTTGGGGCCCCGCAGGCTTTCCCAATAGACCGGTCTATAATCAGTAAATGACTCTTTAGATGAGACAAAGATTGAATAAACGCACTCCGAATTTAATTACACCGTGACCCTCCACGGGCCTGTACCGCACTAACCGTAGAGGTGGCCACTCAAGGGTGCCATCCGGTCCGTTAAATCCGGTTCGTTAATTTTTATCAGTTGTCCGTTAAATTTCGTTAAAAAAAAGGGAGAGAAATTCAGAAAAAACGAAAAAAATCCAAAAAAATCGAAAAAAACCCAAAAAATCACAACAACTGCGGCTAGTTGAAAATCTAGTATGCATAGGTTAAAATAAAATACAAACATACTTAATAAAGGAATTCCATAAACTATAAGTATGAAACCCAAAAATCCCCCAACCTAAAAATCCGCTAATTTTAGTTAATTTTTGTCTTTGCTATTTTCCGTTAATTAACGGAAAATTACCAATGAAATTAACCTTTTGTCCGCTATTAACGGATCCCCGGTGGCCACTCAACTAACCGTACCGGGTATCGACAATCCTTACAGCAACTCCGCCCTCTGCAGGGCGCTATAGGCAAGTAACTGCACGAGGCCACTGTACTCGGTACCTCAAAATAAAAAGCCGGCCTCGCACGCACTTTGGGGTCCGGGGCCGGTCCCAAATATCGGCTTCGAAAGTGCCCAGACCGCAGCTTATCACTCTCGCTACGCCACAAGCAATGTAGCCACACAACCTCGCATTCACAAGGAGTTGTTTAAGTTTCAGGTCACCAGATCCCTCCGCCTATTGGCTTCAGGGCTGGCCACTTTGGAGTGGAAACCGCTTGTCCAAAGGGGTTTGCACCCCGCTATTTATACCCCACAGCCACTGCCCCCATGCCCAAGAGCACCCAGAATATTCCCAAAAGATTCCCCAATAGCTTCCCGGATCATCCCCTCCCTGTCTAGTCAATCTTGCGCCAAAACTCCCGACGCACCGGACACTACCCTCGCAAGGCTTACCAATTTGGCCTCAACTCCGCCTCCATATCTTTCTATAACATGTCAACCACAAGATCTCTTAGTAATGCATCATATTCATATCCTTTCACAACATCTACCGAATTGACACACCATACCCCCTTTGATTCAACACTCAGAGTTATGATTACCTTGCTCACCAAAATGCCAAACCAAATATTCAGTAGTTACTCACCAATACCCAGTTATTGACCAGCCAGCGATACCCACTTTATCATGTACCGTACTGCCTCAAACCAGCCGGGGTATGACAGCCCAGTCATCCCCTCCGTTCTCTACAAACCCTTCGGCATCGACGCTGGGGTCCATGTCAGTCTCCATGTCGTCGTACACCAGCAAATCCGCTTCGTTGGCGCTGTCTTCAATCACGACGTAGCCCCTCTGTGCCTCTCCAGCGACCGTCGCCGCCTCCGCCTGCGCCGCGCCGACTCCTGCCGCCCCCTCTGCTCCAGCGTCCTCCTCCGCATCGCGCGCAGCCCTGGCCTCCGGATCCTCGACCGTGTCGAGGAGTCCATGCACCTTGAACTGCCAAGTCTCCAGGTCTTTGGGGCCCCATGCCCCCATGTCCTCCGCCTCGTTCCATTCCCACCCGGTTGCCACCAACTGAGCTGCTGTAAGCTGGCGCTTCGCGGCGAATGCGCACATGGTGCACATGTGATCACATGTGCACACGTCGCAGCCTTCCGCGCCGTAGTCATTCAAGTCGCCCTCTTGGCGAGTCCAGCCGCTTCCCCACACCGAACGCTCGGCAGCGTGCGCCTCTTTTGGCGTCGCACCCTTTCGAACGCGTTCGTTGTAACGTTCCCAATACACATCCCTCCAGTAGCCAGGGAGGCGAGCTTCAA